TATATATATAATACTGTGTATATGCATATGTTTGTGTACAATTTTATGTTTTTATACATTTATATATCATGCCTTAAAATTATAAAATTATAATTTGAAGTCCCATTGTAATAATATGCTACATATACCACTCTGATAATCTACATTCAGTAAATAGGTGGTGAGGGTGGAGATAGAAATAAAATTGTGAAAGGCTGTCTGTTGAGACAGCTAGTTATTTCAGTAATTAAATTGACCAATGTTAGATTAGTTCATGAAACCAAGGAAAATGACCCTTGTCCCCTAAACTGCCTTAAACATGCTCCAGGCATCCATATAAAACGTGAAATACTTGACTGTTGGGTTTTGTTTGGAAAAGCTTTACCGGTTAAACTGTGAATAGCAATAGTGAAATTCAAAAAAGTGAAAGTAATTTGAGCCTGTCAATGGTTAGCGTATAGCGGTAACTAGGGGCATTTTGAGTCTTCCCTCTTCTTGCGTTTGTTTTTATGGTTTTATGGTTTCGGTTCAGAGTGGAAACATGCCGCTTGAGGATGAGGAGAAAGGAATTCTGCTCTTAGTTACTAATCCACAATGGAATTCTGCCTGACGGATGAGTTTTCCATCTCAGCGCTAGCAATAAGGACCAAGCAGCGTGGTGTAAAATGCTAATGTTTATGTTGTAAACAGAGGACTCAAGTCCAAACATGACCGGCCCAGATTCCCTTTGAGTGGGAACCAGCGTAGCATAGAAAAAGTGAACTTTCAGACATGTTTTCTCCAAATTGTCAACTAAACAGCATCTTACTTAAATGACAGTAGAAGAACATTGATTAATCTGATGCCCTACATAATAGACAGTAACCTCGGCTTTCTTAAAACCTCTTTATGAATGATTACAGAGAATCACAAGTCTTAAAGTGAATTATCATACAGAAAGCCTCATAGATCTTCTCTACCACAGCTCTGAACCAAACGGCCACCATTTCGGTCAGGGAACGCAGACGGTACCACAAATAAGCATCCAGTTTCCGGCTGTTGCTTCTCTCTCTGCATATTCTCTCACAAACTAAACCTCAAGATATTATGTAAGGGAGAGATTTAGGCTATGTATTATTTGTAGCTATTCTCAGAGACCTGTTTCCTTTAAAAAAACATGTTTAAACCACCAGAATGGGCCTCGCTAACCGCCATGTTCGATTCAGGGACAGCATGTCACAGCATGTCAAACAATAAAATTCCCTGGCTGATATAGCAAAGGTTGCTGTACGTTCTGTGTACATGGATGCTTATCAAACAGTAAGTGAGTCCATGTAAAGAACGCAAAGTTCTCCAAGAAGAATTAGGACACTACTGAGAGATATTGAAAGGTCAAAGACAAAAAAGTAGACAGGGACTATTTTATGATGCTTTTATCAACCTTTTTGGAGATTTGATACACTTTTGTATGCAGAAGAGCAGCATGAACATTCTACTAAGCATTTCGTACGGGTTTGGAATGACATGAGGGTAAATAAATGACGACAGAAGTTTTAGTTTTGGTGAACTGTCTCTTTAAAGCCACCTGACATTATTACAGTAATCAGAAACTGCCTGACACAATAGTATTTATCAGTTGTTTATTGTCACTATGTAACTGTAAATCAACTAATCAGACATCTGTGACTCTATAATCTAATGTCCTCACCAAATATCACAAAGCCCAGCAGAAAATCATGCAGCTTGCATGTGCCACAATTATACTTTAAATCTGTCCTTGATATTTTGGTTTGACACATGAGGCATTATTGGGTGGGGAAAGTGCCAGAAGATGTTAAGGAGCTGCTATGAAAGCAAGAATAAGTTCGTGAGAAAAAAAAAAAATCCATTAAACTTTACCATTCAGACTGGAATACAGTTTTCTAGTGCAACTTTTCAAAGCTTGAATTATCAGTTTTTGTTTATCTGTTCCTCAGGTCAACATTGGGAAAAGAAACAAGATGAAGAGAAATGCACAGCAAACCGCAAGTGAGCACAGCAGGTGTCAGCCAGAAGAGGGCACACAGACACTCATACTGAGCAATTCATTCTTTTGAGTGCAGTCATCAACCAGCAATAATGACTTGAATGAAGACAAAGAATGACATTGCTTTAATACGTTAAAATTGTAGTTTTCAAGAAAAACTACTCAAGATCCTATTTCAGAGAGTTGCTGCCAATCAAATCCAACTGTAAATGTATTATTTTGTCAGATTTGTAGGAGAATTATACTTGTGAATCAGGCTGTTCCTTATGCAACTTTAACCTTGACTCAGAAGCGCTTATCACTAAAACAAAAAAATACACTGTACATTCATTTGTGTCACTTCAGAAGGCATGGCGGTCACAATAAAGTATTCTCTTAATCACACGATGAGCACCAGTGTCTTTTGGGAAGCGACTAATGACTTGTTTTGTAGGTTATGAGCCAAAAATTTAATGATGCAATGATGTTCGCTGCTTACCTAATGTAAAAGTGAACACTGTATATAGTAAAAGTTAGTTATTATCTGAAGTTCAGATTCTGAACCCATTTAATATTATTTTTTCCCCAACTCATTGGAAACAAACTCTATGCCTTTTCCAATAAAGGCTCAGAAAAGTTACTGAAAGTGTGTTTTATTCCTGGTCACAGTTGTTATCGGTGGGAAACTACCACAGGAAAAAAAAGTTCCTCAATAAGACCCAATAGAAACTTTGAAGCTTTTCTTATTATCAGGAAATTGAAGGGAAAATCCAATAATAAAATCCTTCACTTTCATTTAATGTAATAATACTTTGAAATCTATTTTTTTTCCATAATGTGCCTCAATCAGTTCCTTATTCAAAATAAGGCATTGGACTTCCCCACTGATCACAAATTTAACTGCTGGAATATATATATATATATATATATTGTGATCATAATTTAATAATATATTAATGGTATATTACAATATTATATTTATGTACATGTTTTTCATATTTCTATTGATGGACGTTTAACAGAAGTCATCGTTCAGAATGAAACAGCTCTGGTCATGTGATTCTTCACACCAGCATTCAATGTGCATTCAATTAGTTACAAATAGCTATAATGCAAATTTAGTGTATGAATGTATAACGATTTATTTGTTAAGCATTTTTATAATAGACCGTATGTTTATAAATTATAAAAAATATGTTAAAATGTCACTGAAAAAGCTTGCTTTTCTATTAAAAAAAAAAAAAAAAAAAAAAAACGACCGGTGTTGTGCCGAATTCTGCACCCCTGCCAGATTATGCACCCCCTCATTAAAATCGCTATTTGATTGCCTAATCCCAACCCCACCCCTAATCCTAACCCCTCCCCCACACCAACTCCTAAACCTACCAATACTAGGGGATGCATAATCTGTCAGGGTGCGAATTGGCAGCCTACTGTGAATGGTGGATGCGTGCGTTTATACAGTCACGTCTACCATCCTAACTGACCTTGTTCACTTCAATCACTATCCCTAGCGACACAACATCCTCTCTTTGTGTAATAATCTCCTTTTGTATAAAATACTTACCCGGTGCCAGCCTACTTTGAAATGTTTTTGAAAACTTCAGTTAAGTTTGTCTTTCAACAGGTGTGTTTAACTTTTTGAAGGAGCAAAGATTAAATTTGCACGTTTGACTCTTTTCAGCGAATCAGTTCTTTTGAATGATCCGTTTTAAAGATCACCGGCACGGCATTCAACATTGCAATAAAGCCGGTTTAGACTTTGTTGCTGTTTATTAAAGTGTTTTATTAATAAGAGTCTTTATTTTTAAATTTCATGTGCTCTTGTTCAGTTCATCAAAACATAAATACATAATTTACATTTATAATAAAGAATCTGCTTGAAAAAAGCTTTTGCCCATTTTAGTAGTATGCTACTTATATACATTGTTATACAAACTCAGTTTGTCCAGTACGGTGTCTTTGTAACATTTCTGAAAAGTAACATAACTTTTCAGGAAAGTAATATTTTCTGACGGTTTTCGGTTTAAATCAGTGATTTGATGATTCGAGAACTTGATTCGTGATTCAATTGTTCAGAACGGGTTTGTAAACTGGTTCAGCGGAATCATTAAAGAGATTCGACTCAAAAGAACGGCTCCTTTAATAGTACAGCGCAGCCGTTCATTCATCCTTCAGAGCTACTTTATACTACTTCACAACAAAAGTCTACACATACCTACCTAGGCTACTATATTAAACTATTAACATTCAAATCAAAAGTTAAATAGACTGACCAACAAATTGTAGGTATTTTAAAAGCGGATTCTTACCTGTTTCTCACCGGTAGAGCCAGCAGTTGTGAGGAGAGCAGGCTGATACAATATACAAAAACCGGGCAAAGCGCTCTCATCGTGGGCGAATAATTTTCTCACGCCCCCTTGGTCAGGAGGGGGCTTCCAATGCACCTGAACAATATTGAATTTCCAGCAAGTGAAACTTTCAAGTTAGAACAAACGTCCAACTTCAAGGTACTGTGGCGTTTCAACTGTTCCTGAAATGAAGGGGAGGAAAATATTAATTGATGCCTACTAGATTTTGTTTTTCCACGAGCAAATTTATAACACATTAGGCTATACTGCTAGCATTTGCTGTGCATCAAATATTTATGGTAATGCCAACATTTAACTGCATTTAATAGTTAAATTATTTAATATTAGCCTACATACAAAACTAGAGGGTTAAAGTCATGCTCTAATTAGTTGCCAACTAATTACAGCCTACTCCTTTTTCTTAGTTCAAGTTTAAAGCACGTTCGGAGTATATTTTATATAAGTGTATCATATATATAAACGTTACTGACCTTTATCTCAGGTGAAGATCTAGTGCCACGCGCTAAACTGTCTCGAGAATTTTCCCACGGGTGCGCACGCGCTCGCCAAGATCAAGCTCTTGTGAAGTCTGAGGTTCAGCTGACATTGACGAGTTTAAATACGGACTGGGCGGGACTACATTGCGATTTTTCAAAGGTGTGTCGAATCCCTTACTCACCCTGGGTCATGCTGCTTCTCTGAGTCACTGCGATATATGGGCAAAATCGATTGGTGTCAAATACAGTTCTTCTTTCTTTTTATGCATACATTTGCTTGATATTGAATTTTTAGGGCTGCTTGTAAAATGTAGGCTATTAAATGATAGTTTAAATGAAGAGTTTGGTTCCAAAACGCTATAAATACATTTTGATTAATTTGAGTAAAAATGTGTTTTCTTTACCAAGAAAGTTGCAAGATGAAAACCACTATTTTCTGTTTCAAACTTTCACATAGCATCTTTAGGTTATAATAACATTAAAAATTCAAATCCAGATTTTGATTTTCAAAGATTTATTATAAAATTTTATTATTTTTTCCCCCAAAATGCAATAAATCCATGACACGTTTTTTTTTGTTTTTCTTTCCAAAATGCAATAAATCCATTGAATCAATATAAAAGTTATTTTTCATATTGAAACTGTTGAAAATACACAACATAGTAAGTTGATCCACATATGACAGCCTCTGAACTTGGTCAATACTAATCTTATATGCAGGCACTGGACTAAAAAACATTCAATCAGTCATCGCTCCCAAAAAGAATTCAACGGGTCATCTTGTTAATGCTATAAATTAATTACAACAATAAAAGAAAATTTCATCATGAACATACACGAACAACAATATCACATGAAACCACAGAAATTCCAAAATGACATTTCCCTCAACTTCCAAAAGTGCATTCATCTTTGCCATGTTACATTCATTTAGTTGACTAGTGCTATACGCTGTATTAACAAAAACATTAATGGCATTAATAAAAACACTTACACTGACAAGCTACTCAATATCGCGTTCATAATCGAATGCGACTCATCTGCGATTATGAACGCGATATTGCAGTGATCTATGGCTCTGTGTATTAAATGCCGCTCCATCTGAAAGCACGTGATGGAGATTTACTACTAATCACAGAACCGGCACATGTTGAACTTACACACTGATCAAAAACCATAGGCAACCCTTTAAATAGTATCAATAACATCATTTACAAGCATTTTTCAACTCATTTTACCAACACACCAACATTCTCATGAAACACCTTCTTCTCTTTATCTCTAACATTGGTGTGAGTGTGCAGAGGGGATAAGGATGCTAAGACTGGTTGACTTCCCCAGAAATTCAGGAGGGCAGGAGGCACACTTGCACTTCTCTAATCAATGTGCATTTTAGTGATAATTGATTGCATAGACATTCTCTTCCAGTTGTCACCGAAAACCAGCACTTCTTTTGCACTTTTGTTGCAAAACAGGTGGTGATATCTGCAAAGTCATTTTATATTATACAATAAGTCTGTATAAAGAAGCATGCACTTGTGTGGAGTTTGAATGGGATGTAGTGTTCGTTGTCTTCTTATTTAATTTGCATTATTTTCACTGAAAACCCAATAATATTTAATTATGAATAATGAAACTGTTAAATCGCCATGTCATGAATTATATTATTTAATATTTTGGGATCTCATGCACGATCACGGTGCAATTTTAATGCCAGTTGAGCTTGTGACAAACAATCTTTGAACTTTGAACAGCTATTTGTGGTATTCTCCCTTTTTCCTTGAAAAATCAAAGAACTGTCACGAGCTCTTGTAAGTTCAGTTTTAGCCTCTAAATGATTTTTTAGCCCATGTTTAAGCAACAACAGTGCCATCAATAACAAATACACAAAATATTTAATGGGATTTCCTAGATATGCTGATGTAAAATCTAAGATCGGATAGTTTTCACTATTCGCAATCTCTTTCTTTTCTCCTTAGAAATGTCTCACGGCTCCACAGTTGGACATATGTCACTTATTCAGGTCAGTGTTGGACATTTGTTAAGAGATTGTTTTTCAGAGATTTAAACAAGTAAATGTTTAATGCTACTAACTGATTCAGTAAAGTGAATATACAGCGCAATGAACCAAGGTGACTGATTAATGAAGTAATTCTTAGAGACCGGCAAGATGTATGTGTCGTTGGTTGGCAAGTGATTCCATTTACATAATCATGAAAAATCATGTGACAACAGAACTGTGAACTGGAGCCAAATCTCAGATGAGAGCAATTGGTTTCCCCCTCTGATCTCTCATTAACTGTATGTGCCAATTAGTTTACATGAGTTACTACACGCCACAGCCAGTGAATCTGGTACAAACCGAAACACAAGCCGTCTGTTAAGCTATGGTGATTTTCTGAAAACATGATCATGTAAATATTTTCAATTGAAATTAGATTTAAAAAAAAAAGCTTACCATATAAATACATGATTTTTATAAATATGAGTATAGGAGGCCATATGATTATTAGAGGATAAACCAATTTAATTAGGAATAATAGAGAATGGCATGATGCAATGCCCAAAGAATGACATATGTGTACAAAAGAAGAATAGAACACTCATTAAAGTCACACATGAGCTTGGGCCTCCCAAAGACAAAATCAACACACTACAATATACTGTAAATAGGTGTAGAAATTATGTTATTTACTCTTGTTAAGTATGCTAGGTCTAATAATGACATAGATAGATAGATAGATAGATAGCACTATATTAGTAACCTGTTGTTTCGTGTTTGCTGCCCCCTAGTGAACATTACTATAACTACACTGAATAAACATAATCAATTTAATGAAAGATTTTGGGGTTCAAAAGAGAAAGTTATAGTGGATCACGTTTAAAGTTCACATAAACAGTATGTCTTAAACATTTCAAACACAAAAACAAACCTCTCCAATGATGGTCCTTGCGCTGGAATATCAGTGACGTCCCCCCCCCTCCTAATGGTAAATCCCTGTGTTAAATCAATTTGAAAACATGCTTGTTCCCACTGAGCTTGTTTCCCTTGCATGTTTACGATGGCCCATCGTCAAGTTTGAGAACACAACTGGTTTGCTATGGCTCACAGTCAAGTTTATTTGCACCGCTGTGATGGACAGTTGCGGTCATGTTTATTTTATGGCGCTTCTGTTTCTGTTCTGTTACTATTACCCATGAGCCAGTGCGCCTGTATGTCTGTACTCCTATATTTACACTTAACTATGGATCTGTGTGTGGGAATGGCAGTCTGTTTGAGCGGTTGTATTTGGGTGTGACTACAGGGGAACAATGGATGTATATTTCCAAAAATACCTTCTGTGAATGAAGACAAAGACATGAGACTGTGTGCTAGTGGATCAAATAGCTGGCAGTTATAAAAGATGAATGAATGCTGGTTCATCAACACAGACACTGACTGCTGCGGATGTTTCATCTTTTCATTCCATCATCCTCACATGACTCATTGTTATATTACGATCTTGCCATTGGACAGGATTGATCTGGCTGATACTGGTTATATTCTTCATTATGTTTATTAGACTTTCAATTGTAATTTAGTTCATTAGCAGCATAATCCACATTTTATCAAAGTAGGCTTTATTATGAGAATGATTGTTTTGGGTAAAATAATGCCAATATTCAATACGGGGCAGTAACAGTCATAAAAATGTCAATATCAACATAAAATTAAATAAGTATACATTTTATTTTATACTTAAAGTATAAAATAAGCATTCAACAAGATATTATTAGGGCTGTCAATTTAACTTTGATTTTTTTTTCTTATGAAAATGGATAAAAAAGAAAAAGCAACTGAAGAATACACATAATAATAATAGTTTATAGTTTTATGCAAATTATTTAGACTGCCTATTTCTTGATGCAAATTTGGTCAAATGTCACTTCCTTTCAGTCTCACATGGATTGTTCAGGATGTTTCCTGTAAACAACATGTTTCATGTTTTATGTTTGATGTCAAAACACAAATGTAAGAAACTCAAAAAGTTTAATTTACTATACACACAACATTTAAAATCTGTGTGAGAATAAAAAAATAGCAACTAAATAAATATTATAAATATTAATTTATATTATTATTATTGTTAATATTAATTTATTAATTATATTATTTATTAATTATAAATCCATGTATATTTATACATCTCTCTGAAATACTCTCTTCTCTTATAATAAAATAATGTCAACTTAAATTAATTTTTTATGTCCATTTATTTTTACAGTGCAGTCAGCTGGTAATTAACGCAAAAAAAAAAATCACCCTCTTGGGAATTGTTGCATATGTATATGTTGTATATGTATATTCATATAAAAAAGGGGTCATATGATGCTGCTAAAAAGAACATTATTTTGTGTATTTGGTGTAATGAAATGTGTTTATGCGGTTTAAGGTTAAAAAAACACATTATTTTCCATATAATGTACATTATTGTTTCTCCTCTATGCCCCGCCTTTCTGAAACGATTTTTACAAAGCTCATCGGTCTGAAAAAGCGAGGTGTGCTCTGATTGGCCAGCTATCCAGTGCGTTGTGATTGGCCGAATACCTCAAGCGTGTACAGGAAATGTTACGTCCCTTACCATATTGTGATGCCTGCGGCAACCACATGTGACGACCTCGGGCTGGACTCCGCTTCGTCCATGGTGAAAGCTGATCCGGCGATCCACAGTGCGAAGTTGAAGTATTTCCTCAGCGACCAGCACGGATCAGCTCCAGGCATGACGAAGCGATATGGTCCTCTTTTGGAAGGCCAAACAAAGTAGTTTCGCTTTCACAATGAAGCACACAGCGCCTTCACGACATGGCAGCGGCGGCAACAATACTACAGCGAGAATAAAAGTTACGCCTTCCTTCTTTCTTTGCGTGAACATTTGGGGCGGCGTTATGCAAATCTTCCCACATCGTGAGGTAGACACGTGGGGGCGTGTTAGAACGAGCTGTTTTAGGTAGGCGTGGCTGACTCTTAACTTTTATAAAGAATATCTCTTTGTATTTGAGACTTTAGTCTTTGCAACTTTACAGATCTTCTTTATGCACCA